TTTATGCTTCTTTTTGGTCCCCATTACCATTTTTTACGGTAGAAATTGGTCCAACCTGCCCACCATTCCTTAATTATTTTATATTTCTTTTTTATTCCCATAATCCCATTCCCATTTTTTCGTCAGTTTGAAAGTTGTTCTAACCTCTTTCTTTGATTAATTTGTTTATTTAGTTGTATTTTCTGTTGTGCTTGAAATTAATTACCGAAAAAAAAATACAATTAGGTAATCCACACAAGGATTCATTGCCACATAAATAATTTTTCAATCCAAATCGTATTAATGTCATTGTACTTAAATAAATGCAATCCACTTGCAATTGCATATGTAATTAAATATCGGGTTTAAATTATGAAAAAATAAAGTAAAATGGTAAATAAATTGAGAAAAAAGGGATTCTCATACTTTTAGGTCATTTTGATCTTATATGCAATTGGAATAGTTGTAAACTTGCAAATATACCATGGATAGTCACATTAATACAATTAGTTTTGCAATTACAGAAACACATGATATGTCATCTTGCAATTGAAAATGCAAGACCACAATTGAAAATGCAAGACCAATGTATATGCTCTTATGCTAATCATTTCTTAGAGCATTAGTTACTACATCAATGATAATTTGGTCAATTGCAAATCCTACATGACATTGAATATGCAATTGCAAATGAGATTACAACAATGTAGTGGGCACTTTGTAAGTCATCTGTAACATAATGAATCCTTATTTCGAACATCTACTAGAATTCAATTAGTTTGATGGAGTTAGTAAGAGAAGAGTTTATGGCCTGATTCGGAATATACAAGAACTAAATGAAAGAATGTTGATAAACTATAATTTAGTGTTCATGACACTCGATAGTAATCCTTTTACCTAAAACTCATACTTCGATAAATACAATAATTGAAGCTATGAAATGAGGCCATTAGTTATTTTATCACATGAGTAGTGTCCCTTACATAGGTACTTGATAGTAAGGTAGCACTATTACTAAATTTAAGTGCTCGAAATAGACAAAAATAGTAACAAGGTAGAATGACGAGATAAAACTCCACCGGCCAATCGGCCGGGCCATAAGCTAGTACTTTATCACGGATATTTTGGGAATGTGTGCTAGGCTTTTCATTAAAAAAAAAAACTTTAGGTGGCTTCTTCCACAATTTTTAACTCGGTGTTTTGCCATAATGTTCAATATGTTCTTTTAAATTTTTAATAAGAAATTAAGAGATATATAGTATACTTATGTTTTTGTTGCATAAATAGATTTCAATTATGCGTGAAATATTATAAATTTGATCAATACATAATAAATCTCTTTAAAAAGTATATATAAGTAAGGAAGACGTGACATTTGTTATTGATTTCAACAAAATAATTTATTTAAAATTTATTTTTTAAGCAAAATATATATAGTTTGTTGGTTGAGTCGAGCGCGAGACTCCAGCGACGATTCCCTCTGCCTCTCCGATCAATTGATACTCTAATTAACCCCAATTTCGATTTTGGCAAGAACAAGTGAAGACAGTGGAATAAACAGAAAAATGAATCGATGAAAGGGTAGAATGACTTCCCTTTCGTGCTCACCAAAACGATAACGAATTCGAAACCGAGACTTGAAGTGGGCCGGGCTTAGTTGGTTCACAATCTGTCGATTTGAAGTTGGCCAGGATTACTTGTATGAAACGCTGCATTTCACAGACTCTGTTTCCTTCTTCTCACCTTGTGCAAATCGATCAAGACCTGTTCTACACAAGAACTTGAACTTGTAGTAAATCAAGAACACAAATACAGACTGGAAATAAGATGCAGCAGAATAAAAACACAAATGAACACAGACACAGTATTTTTACGTGGTATCCCGTGTTAGGTGATTATTGAACCTAACACCGACTAATCCACGGTAGGAGACTCTCCTCTTGAGATCTCATACTTAATCACTATGATTTGTTTTCTTCTTACAGACTTTGGCCAACTCTGAATCAACTCCCTACTGATCGACCAAACGAGAAGTCTCTAGTGATTCAAACTCCCCGTTCAATCACCCTTGTTTTCCCTGCTAATCTCCCCCAATATGCTTTCACGATTATACAAAAGACTTTCGCTCTTTATAGCACTCTCTTTTGTTTTCAATCTCTTGGGAAAAACCTATCTATTGCTGATCCCTCACTCAAACTATATACTCTTGCTGATCTGAGGACCGTTGAAGATGAAACTGGCTGGAGAAGGTAAGTATTTGTTGAGGATATTAATTATTTAGTCAAAAAGTAATTAATTCCTTGTCCTTCAAGTCCCTTGTTTCCTTGTTCATGTAAAAGAAGGAAACCTGGTTGTCATTAGGGTTTTAACCCTAAGTCTCTCTATATAAGCTTAGCTACGAAATTGTCGTAAGCAAGCCGTCACAATGTAGCCGTTCAATAAAACGTCAGCTGTGAGCTCTTTCGAGCTCACCGTGGATTAGTCTCGATCAATCAATCGATCGAGGATACCACGTAAAATATTTTGTTCGTGTGTTATTTCATCTTCCGCATCATCAAATTCTACATGGTATCAGAGCTAAACTCGATCCCTGTTAGGGTTTTAAGCTTCCGCATTCAACCTCTCCACGAAGTCCAGACCGCCGTCCATCAATCTCTCATGCTACTTTCACAGTAGCCACTGCCGGTGTCAACCGGCATCTCCAACATCATCTCGGCGTCCCACGATTAGTCACGATCGTCGTCGAAGAAGAGCCGATGTCCACTCCGGCCCCCGGCTTTCGATTTGTATCGTTGCCGCCTCTGCTCCATTGTAGTTCGACGGCGAAGTCCTTCCCGCCGTTGAGAACGAGACATCTAGATCTGTCGTCAGATCGAAGCCAAGGTGCCATAAGTCGTCAAGTTGGTGCTTGTCCGCTTCACGCTCTTAGTCTGCCGCTAGGTTCGCCATGTATCGTCTTTTTCGAGGCCCTAGGGGCGGCATCGCCTTTTGAAGGTCATCAAGTCTCTAGCGATTTCAGTCATTGGTCACCGAAGGTTAGGTCGGCAGCGATGGCCGTCGTCTTCAATCTCATCGTAATCGTTGTCCCGGCGAGTCTCTATCCCCGGTCCAGCATCGTTGGCAGTTTGATTCGTTTTTTGTCTACATCTCTGCAGCTGGTATTTCTGTCTTGCGGATCGTCATCAAGTCAGATGAAGAAGCAAAGGTGTCTCCGCCGCTGTCGAGGGTTTATCCTAAATTTTGTCCGCTTGTCACAATTCAATTCCGTCCAGGTCGTCATCTCCAGTCTTTTTCTCCAAGTTATGTTGTTATATATGGACAGCAGTTACAAGGAACAAAAATTTTGCTCCTTTGTTTCGTACCTATTGCTGTTTAGTTGATTATGCTTAGAGAGTGGCATGGAGATCGGTTGGTGGGAGTCGGTTGGGTCAATGGAGTTATATCATGTCATCGTTGTGGCCGGTGACTCTCAGTCTCGGAGGCATTGAAATGAATTCAAAATTGCTACAAGGATGGGGTCAAGTCAACGTCATCAATTCAAGGTCACAAGTTTTGTCCAAGTCCACAGAAGAAAAATCTTCAACAAAGTCATGAAGTTGGAGATCATCACGGCCCAAGTGTTGGAGTCGCTTCAATAATCAGTGTTGGAGAAAAGAAAGTTTTCGTCAAGAAATCAAGTCAAGGTGCGAGGTAGTCACGATCAAAGAAGCGATCGTCCCCTCCACGTTCAGAATCGGTCAACTCTGAGTCTTTATCATTCTAACTTTCAAGCTGGGCATTCACGTCGTTCATGTTCCAGCTTGAGGGGGAGAATAGGGCATCATCTTATGTGGTCAATCAGTTCAACATATCGACCACGGTGTATCAGTCAAGAAGGTTCTCCAGTCTTGTTCAAGAGAGACGATAGTCAGAAGTCTCTCCATCTGTCTCATTCAAGAGAGGCGCAGTCAACAGCCTCTCGGTCAATCTCATCTAGGTAGAGGCGCAGTCAACCGCCTCCACCATATCATACGGATAGACGTAGTCAATCGTCTCCATCAAGTCATTCAAGAGACGCAGTCAACCGTCTCTGTCAGGTCGTTCAAGAGACGCAATCAACCGTCTCCGTCGCGACGTTCAAGAAGATGCAGTCAACCATCTTTATCAGGTTGTTCAAGGGAGAGAGTCAGTCATCTCCAAATCAACCTCGTCCGAGATGTTATTCATCTCGAGTTTTGTTGTTCAAGCTTGTCATGCTTGTTCGTCACATTTCCTTTTTCAAGCTCGACATTCTTGTCACTCATGTCTTCGCTTGAGGGGGAGTGTTGAGGATATTAATTATTTAGTCAAAAAGTAATTAATTCCTTGTCCTTCAAGTCCCTTGTTTCCTTGTTCATGTAAAAGAAGGAAACCTGGTTGTCATTAGGGTTTTAACCCTAAGGCTCTCTATATAAGCTTAGCTACGAAATTGTCGTAAGCAAGCCGTCACAATGTAGTCGTTCAATAAAACGTCAGCTGTGAGCTCTTTCGAGCTCACCGTGGATTAGTCTCGATCAATCAATCGATAGAGGATACCACGTAAAATATTGTGTTCGTGTGTTATTTCATCTTCCGCATCATCAAATTCTACAGTATTTGATTCTTTCCATTTTTGCTTGATTCTGATTTGACTTTCCAAATTTGCCGTGCTCAAGTTATGATGCAATCTGCTACTTTCTTCTCTCAACATAGTTATAATTAATAACAATGATAATTAATTATTATTACGTATATTCATAAATTTCATCATAAAAAATGCTACCTGCCCAAATTGGATGCTAGTAAAAAGGAAACCAATTGAATTTCTTTTTGTTTTCTACTTCAATTTCAATTCGGTCAAAAGAAATCGCAGCTTCGTTCCCATTCTCCATTGGCAGCTTCCTGCAACTCTCTTCCGAAATTCCTCCTCGAGATTTCCGTTTTGGATACGGGAGCAGCACTGAATCCGCGTTTGGTTTTCGCGCCAAGAAAGTGAGAATTTTCTCTCACGTTAGTATATGTTCACGAATCAGTTCACGATTCATTGCATCTCGGAATACTTTAATCACAGAAGAGCAGCGGCGGAGGCGGGGGCGTGAAGGAGGTGGAGGATTCGCGCGCGATTGTGGAAAGAGGGAAGAGGAAGACGCAACCGGAGAGGCACTATTCCGGCGAGTTCTTGCTGTCCATTTCGAAAGAGTTGAAGCCGTCAAAACCGCCGGTTGGAGGAGACACCCCAGCCAAGGTACGAATTAGTCTTCTGTGTTGGTCTAATTTTCTTTTTCGTTCGAGCTACTAGCGGAATTTAGGGATCGTTGAACCAGTAGTTAGCAGAAATCGTCAATGCTGGATGTAGTTAGTCGTTGGTCCTTGAGAAAGTGAGAAGTCTTTCGATTGGAGCTTGTTTTTTTTTTATAAGGGTGATATAGGTTTCTCTTTTTGTGATTAAGGTACTACTTAAGGGATTCGAACCTGAGATCTCCAGGTTCTAGACTAGTGGTATTACCACTAGACCAAGCCCTTGTTCGTTCGATTGGAGCTTGTTACTGAAGATATTGTGTGGAGATGACTATGATGCATCAAGCTGCAGCGAATGGATTACTCCATACGTTATCGCTGCCTATGGAATGCTATTGATTACTGGAAGAACGTGGCGATGATATAGACTTATGTTTTCTTTTACCTTGTGATAAGCAGATGAAGTTCAATTCTGAGAGAAAATGTGGAAACAGGACAGGGATTGAGGGTTGTCAGTTTGAACCATAGGATGTTTTACAATGGTGGAATGGGATGTTCATTCTTAGAAGACTAAACGAGGCTTACCGGCCATCGATTTATATGAAGGCTTAAATGTTCAGGACGAAGCCGTGGCTAAGCTGAAGTTGTTTATAGCAGAATGTGCCTTGTTGAAGTCCGTGTTTGTGCTTGCTTCAGCCCAGTCCGAGTGGAGGATGTTCTTTTCTTTCGGCTGGATGCTTGTTCTGATCACCAGAATTGGAAATTGGAATTTGATGTTTGGGAACTTGTTGTTTTCTATGATTGGTCAGATGGCTTCCTTGTGTATACTGTTCTTGACTGGTTTCAGTTTGATTTCAATTCGTGTAGGTTACTCACAAAACGTCCTTCCTGGGGAAAGCATGCACAATGGGTCCGGAGAAAACGTTAGCAGTTCTCGACACTCTTGGAAGTAGCATGTCGAATTTGAATGGTCGGAGTGGGTTTGTCACCGGCATAGCATCTAGAGGGAACATAATATCTATACTGGCATTTGAAGTATCTAATACAATATCTAAAGGGGCGAACTTGTTTCAATCTCTCTCAGAGGAGAATGTCGAATTCCTGAAAAAGGAGATTCTACATTCAGAAGGTGTTAAGAGGTTGATTTCGACGGATATGAAAGAGCTGCTAGTTATTGCTGCTACTGACAAAAGGTCGTTACTAATTGCTTTCTGAAGAAAATATTTTCTTTCCATCGTCCTGGAGAGTAGTGATCTCACTGTTATCAGTGTCTCTTCTGGCAGGGAAGAATTTGATGTCTTCTCCAGTGAAGTAATTCGGTTTGGAGACCTCTGTAAGGATCCTCAACGGCACAACCTAGGCCGATATTTTTCAAAGTATGTATTTCTATGAAGATGCAGTTTTTCTTATTGGATTTTTGTTGGCCACATGTTGTTAATGTCTTGTAAGTTGTAATGGATGAAACATGGCAGATTAGATTCAGAGGCTTCAATTGATAAAGAATCGAGACAAGAAGCTGAGAGGTCTGTGCAAGAGTTGACTAATCTGGTGCAACATACTTCTGTAAGATCCTCATGAAAGCTCTGTTGTGATTCCTGTATCACCCCTTGTGCTTACCCTCTAATCTTGAAATTACTTCCTTTGCTTAGAATGGTAGTACTTGGCCATGTAATGGAAACAATCCTCTTACGATACTTCAGTATACGAGAATATACAGCTAGTTTTCTCCTTACAATGTGTTTCCTTTCAACCATTAAGATATTAGGCAGTGTGAACTTTAGGGAGCTTCTTTAAGTGATAACTGTCAGCTCTGCTCGTGTTTAGTCTTTTCAAAGTCTAAACCTATCTGGCTTTCACATCTCTAGTCCAAGGATGCTAATCTTCATTGGGTTCTGAAAGATATTTTACTTATTTCTATGTTATATAGGAACTTTATCATGAATTGCATTCACTGGACAGATTTGAGCAATATTATCAAAGTAAGGTTGAGGAGCTGCAGTCCTTACACCTTCCTCAGAAAGGTTGTTCTTGATTTGCATGACAACCAATAGATACTTCATACATCTGCCTACTGGCTTTTATAGGGTGAATATTTTACTGATGAGCCTGCTGTTCATTTTCTGATAAAATGTAGGAGGGAGCCTCTCAATTTTACATAGTGAGTTGAAAGAGCAACGAAAGCTTGTTCGCAACTTGAAAAAAAGATATGTGGTCTAAAAGTTTGGAGGAGGTACTTGTATCTTCTAAATAGTTGACATACTCTACAAATCTTACAATAACACTGCATTTTGAATGAACATTTTGGCCAGTTATTTCTCCGCCTTGCAGGTGCAATTTCATGCTTTTGGTTTAGTATGAACCAATCAAATAGTAATTTGTTTTATGCTCTTGGCAGATCATGGAGAAACTTGTAGACATTGTAATCTATTTGCACCAAGCTATTCTGGAATCATTTGGAACTACTGGTATGAGGGTAAGTCAGTATGGATATTCTACATGTGCTAGGAAGTTCCTTATATATTAGCATAAAGTGATGCTTTCAGTTACTTTAGAATTCGTGCTATCAACACATCTTTTCTGTTTCGGAATTGGAATGCCTAAAAATGATGTAGAGTTCTGAATTGTGAAGAACTTACTGATTACAAACTGCTGAACAGTCTCTTTCATGGGTCGTCAGGTGTCACAGTGGTTGATGAGGTTGGCAATCGTCAAAGGCTTGGAAATGCTGGTCTAGCATTGCATTATGCTCACATGATCACTCAGATAGACAACATTGTAAGAGCAACAGTTATTTTGTCTGTGATTATGCATGATGAAAGAGAAAAGGCTCCTCCTTTGAGATTCTTTCAACTGAAATTCGGTTTGTTGTCAGGCATCTCAAGGCAACCTCATCCGCCTCCAGACGCTCTACCATGCCGACAAGGAGACAACCGACCAACACATCCTCGAGACCGTAGCATGGCTCCACCGTCTGATCACCCTAGCCGGACAACGCGACAACGGCCTACGATCCTCAGGAAGCCAAGCCGGCCATGTTCAAAAGTCAGCCACTTTCCGAGGACAGGATCTCCACTCGACGATGCAGCGAATCGCGTCCCTGAACGAAGCTCGAAACTATCACCATGGCAGCCACATCCCAAGGAGCTCTCCAAGAAGAGCAGCGGAAGGGTTTGGGCTGCTCTGAGCAGGACGAAGAGCACCGGGAACTCACCCCTAAGGGAAATGGGGAGGAGGAGGAAGTTTGTCCAGCATCAAAGAGGGAATCTGTTGGATATTTTGGATGGGTTGGATTCCATGTAGACAACAGAATTGGGTTTGTAGGGTTGGGGGGGAAAGAATCAAGCTTGGGTTATGATTATATTTTTTGTTGTGTAAATATAAGGATCTAGGGTCCATAATTGTATCTTATCAACCAATCAGGAATGCTTTTTATCTGTGAGGAGATTGTATATGACGGATGGAAAAAAATACCACATCGGAAGTTTGCTGGGAAATGGAGTCGACGGTAAGGCTATAAAATGGGAAGAGGAACTTTGAAGAAAACCATGATCCTTCAGGCAGTAAGTGGGGCGTGATGAGTGGGTCAATCTCGCGAAATTATGCGGGATGGGTGTCCAGTCCAAAGCCTGGTTACGACAATTTGGGCACCCCAATTTGTACCTATCTGATCCCCATTGTCTTACAAAAAAAGCCTGAAAGAAAGGGTCCAAAATGTTTTGTGTACGCAATGGGTTAAAAACCCAATTGTCTTGGGTTTTTGTTGGGTAAGGAAATGAATTTCTGAACAAGCTGTCCACTGGGCAGTATTGGTTCCTTTATTTGGCCCAACTGTTCCCAGTGGTGTGGTTGGAAATTAGATTTTAAACAATCTCGAGCACAACTTGGTTTACAATCCTAGTAGATCCGTTCAGTCATATTTTGTGTGCTGAACGCATTGTGGTCGTTGGATCGTCGTTTTAGTTACAAGGTCGTTATCGGTTTTATGAGCACGCTCTCACATATTGGATTGTGAACACAATTAACAAAATTGATTGAATGCAATGACACTTTAAACATGTCAATCCAAATAGATTCGACTCATGACATCGGTATTGAAAATAGAGTCAAATTTTACCATTAATATTCGTCTCTACTTCGACCTATAGGAATGATTTGAGTTCATGTTGATGATACCTCGTCTAGTTGACTAGTTCTACCTATAATAAGATTGAGTCCAATGCTCATATCAAGTAGGAAATAGAAGCCATCTCTGGTGACATTTTGACATATCATTACAGATATACAGAGAGTCTTATCTCTCCAGTTTTGGAGTCAAAAGTAGGCGTAATGCATAATTCGCCCACGCAAGATGGCTATCCCAGAGACTGGAGCTTCATCTCTTGCTGGAATTCCTCAATGGATCTTCACTCTTAGTTACAATTCCTGCCTCCAATACCATTCCTCGCATTCCCAGTTGTTGAAAGCTTCATTGTCTCTGTCGTTTGGGGAGCGTCGGGAAAGAAGGGACGGCGGTCTTGAGCTCGCCAAACATTTCAAAGCGATCAACAAGCTTTAGTGGTGCATGTGTCCGGGTGCACGAAGAACACACCATGTGGATTCGAATGGATAGAGGGTATTTGGCTCGGAAATGAAGCTTCTTCTTCAATCGATGTGGGACAGCCAAATGAGTCTCAAAGGTTTTTTCACTTGGGTAATAAAAAACGTCGACCAACTAAATATAGTCGATGTGGGACAGATAGTTTACATGAACAATGAGTTTGCTTTAGACTTGGAATAAGTCACCCCTAAGAGCTCAGTGTGTCAGGTTCTTTGCCCTGACTAGAACAGAGTAAGATTAGCCAACGTGAATGTCCAAGCTGCTGTTCTACTTCTTCACAGTGTAAGACCCTTCAGTCTCCTCCATAACCGTTTGTGCTATCTAAACAAAATTATGTAATTAGGGGTGTGCAACGGATTGGTCCGGTCCATTTCGCACCAAATTCATGTGAACCGCGGTCCATTAGTGAAAGACATCACAGGATCAAGGACCGGATCGCGTTCGGTCCATTTGGTCTGGTTCAAATATCAGTTCGGTACATCATTTCTCCAGTAATTGTAAAATTCATATGTATCAAGGACCGAATCGCATTATACTCGATCCGATCCCGAACCAGATCATTGCACACCCCTATATGTAATAACTAGATGACATCAAACTTGCTTCGTTGTTTTAGTCCAATCTTCAGTTTTCTTATACAAGTCATCTAAACCTCTACATTCTAGAAACTAACTTCTTTTGCAATGCCACAACACAATTCAGAAATTAAAGCCCGTCCATCATTAAAAAGATTCGAACGTGACCAATGCAGTTAAAAGCGCGATTCTACCTAGAAGTGGAAAATGGGTAAAATCGTAAAACGTAGAATCAAAGCGTAAAAGCGTAAGTTGTTGACGCACCTCTAAAATAGCTAAAATATGTTAGGTACAACATATAGTATGTAAAATGTGAGTGTGTAGATTTTATATAACTGAATAAATACATTAAATTCATAATTAAAATATAATATCTAACACATAAACTATTTGTATTGACTCAAAAGTAGAGAAAACTCATAATATCTTAATAATAAGCACATAAGTGTAGATCGTAACCCGTAAACGAGCTTGAGAATCCAAATTCTCATAAGCTGGTTTGGGTTTACATAATTACATACGATCAATTACCAATAAACTTTTATCGTAATCCAGGTAAGAGCCACAGGTGAAGATTAAGGGAGAAGACTGATAGAAGGTCAGCGGTTGTTGAGAATACCATTAGGTGTCTTTTCAACATAATGTGAAGCCCCCTATCTCGACACTAGTTGTAGAACGAGTGATGGGTCATGTTTTCCTTTTTTATTTTTCGCTGATATGTCTCCAAATTTACATCATTTTGGGCCAATTAGCACATTTTTACGATATGATCAAAATCGTATAAAAACGCTTCAGAATCGCGATTTTGTCGATTTTAAGCGATTTTACCGATTTTACCCATGCTTTTACCGGTTTTTGTGTCTAAGCGACTTTAGGTAGAAACTAAAACGTTTTGGTGGCCTGGATACGTAAAAACGTAAGTTTTTACGTTTTAATGCGCGATTTTGACTGCACTGAACATGACACCTATTGCAAGAGATTTTTAAGGAATTTCGTCAATCTACTATAAAATGATTTTTTTTCTTTTCCACATACTATAAAAATGATTGGCCTAGCCTAGTTGTGGCTATTGATAATTTGTTTTAGCAGGAGCTCTATTACAAATAAAATTCAGTAATTCCAGTAAATTTTATGTGCTTATTAGAGGTGTGGATCTATCGCTCAATGGGCCGATGAGTGTTGGCCTGCCCACTCCATTTGTCTCGTAGTTTAGCGGAAATTACATTTTGAATGGGCTTTTAACCCGTCAGGTCCATATTCCAAAAACCAATGTTGTCAGAACCGAACCGAAGCATGACCCGGTAATGCGAATAGCTCGCACTTTAGTGGTCCAACCGACATTAGACCATTTAAAAATCGTTAGAGAACTGGTACATGATAAACGTTATCAGTATAAATAGTGGACATTTCTTAATCAGAGCTCGTCTCTTTCCTTCGAAATTGTGAAATGGAAATAACGATTCAGTTTGAGAGCCCGACGTTTTTTGTTTATTTCAATTTTCTGCAATTTTTTAATTAAATTTAACGGTTGAATGGCAAAAGTCGGATGAGCGGCTCGATCGGCTCAAGCGGTTAACCGCCTCGTCCGCTCGTCAACCGTTACATAAAACAGGAGCGGCTTTTAAACTGTTGCGAGCTGGTTTTGTGACCGGGTGGGGGTTTTAACGGTCGGGCCGAGCGGCTCGTTCCGGTGGGCAAAGGGGGCTATGGAAATCCGTTTTTGTGGCTTGTCTTCTTGTTCGTAAATCTCCCATCTACCTCCTTGTTTCACCCACAGAGTCGGTGATCTGGAGATGCAACCACCTTCTCATCATGCAGCGGTCTGGATGCGATTTATGGACAAGAAGGCAGGGGCACACTCTCTCAGATCGCGACGGGTTCCTCTGATCTCTTCCCGTCGGCTTTGGTTTTCCCTCTCGTGTCTCTCCATGTCTCTTCTCTTTGCTTTTGGAAGCTCTTCTTTGGTGATCTTCTTTTCGAAGGGACTGGGTCTTCATGCGGCGGGTTTGGTGGTGATCAGCTGATGTTCTTGAGGGTTGAAGGAGGCGTCTGCTGCTGTGGGGTGATTCACATTTCCCTGTTAGGGTTTGTGTGGGCTCTATATTTTGGTTGTACTTCTGCTGGGCCTGTTTCTGTTTCTTTCTTTTGCATTTGTACGGGCCATTATGTTAGGCTTTCATTATCCCTTTGCTTTTGTGATGCCTCTCCTAGGGTAATGTATCTTGTATATACCCTAACTTTGCTCCTCATTGAAATGCAATGCAGCATTTTCCTGTAAAAAAAAATTACTTTAAGGAATTATTACTCTTAGGTTGGGGTAAATACCAAATTTGGTCACTGGGTTACTAAAACGTATCATGTTTAGTCACTAAAAAAATTAATATCAAATTTGGTCACTCAAATTAGTAAAAGAGCCCACCACCGCTTTCTCATCTCTTCTCCACCTCTCTTGTGTCCGCCTTCTGTCGCCGCATGGACAAGGTGGACGGAATCGCCACTAGATCATCTGCTTCCTCCTTCCTCCAGCGCTTCTGTTCCTTTGCAATCAACAACCGGCCGACAGCGCCATTTGATTCGAGGCTTGTCGATGCTCCCTGTCAAACCGTCGCCGTTCCTGTGCTCTTTGGCTTCAATTTTGCGCCGACAACGACGGGTAGGGGAAGAAACCGAGGAAGCCAGCAGCCGAATCCGGCGAGGGCATCGGACGACCTCCTGCCAATGACAGAGTTGAAATGAAGTGCTGTTGGTTTGATGAAGAACAAGAGAAGTCTGCAATCCTTATTGCAGAAGGATTCGAAGTGGATCAGAGGAGAAGAGAGGAACGGCGTCGTCTTGCTAAGTCGTGGAGAAAGAAGAGCCAAAACGCAGCGGATCGCTTAGTAGTTGTTAGCCGTTGTTAGCCGTTAAACTTTACTGTTTATTTAAATATCTAGCCTATCATGTAAGGACATCTGTCGTAGTTTTGTTTAATTACTTTCCTATCTATAAAAAGGAACAGAGGACTCAAACATTAGTTGAGCTTCCTCTTCCACAAATCTATCTTTCGCGTTATGGTATCAGAGCTACACGAGCTCTAGGGTTTTCCGCCGCCTACGACGGAATGTCCGGAGGACAGACTCCACCTAACACGCCACCCACCGGCATTGGTGGAAGTGGATCGACGACGACAGCAGGAGCAGGAGGTTTCCAATTTGGTACCTTCAACCAGACCCAGTTGCAACCTGAAACTATTGTTTTTGGTAATCCCTACTACCTTAACCCAAATGAGAACATGTCTCAATCTCTTGTTGCTGAACCTTTCGATGGAGCAAACTATGTGATGTGGAGCAGATCCATATAAGTAGTGTTGAAAACTAAGAACAAAGTAGGATTCATTGATGGGTCACTGCCAATACCTCCTAGAGAATCAGATTTGTTTAGTCTCTGGGATGCTTGTAACACTGTAGTACTTTGTTGGCTACAAAACTCTATGACAAAGGAGATTCGCAGATCAGTGTTGAATCACACTAATGCTAAGACGTTGTGGGATGAACTAAAGAGGCGCTTTGGGTTACCCAATGCCTTGAGGATCATGAACATTGAGGATGAGATTCAGGCCTGCAAACAAGGTTCTAAGTCCATCAACCAGTACTACACAGCTATCAAAGGCCTATGGGATGAATATGTGGAATTTTGCCCCATCATACCATGCACCTGTGCCCCTGGAAATCCCATGCCTTGTGCTGCTGTAACTGCATTTGTGCAGAAGCAAGAAACTGACTACCTGGTGAGGTTTCTGAGAGGACTTAACCCAGAGTTTGAAGTGATCAAGACACAGTTATTGCTGCAAAAGCCACTGCCTACAGTTTCAACAGCAGTGGATGACCTTCTTCAACATGAGCAAAAGTTGAAGGCTGATGCAGCTATGGGAGGAAAGAGAGGACAGAATCTGGCTCTTGCAGTTGGTGGTAACAATACAAGAGACAACAGCTCAAGAGAAAACAGTTCAAGGGACAATGGTTCCAGGGAGAACAATGAAGCAAGGGGGAGAAAATTCTGTCGATTTTGCAAGATGAACAATCACACTATAGAGGATTGTTGGAAGCTGAAGAAGAAACAGGAGAGAGAAGGCAATGGTAATGGATCAAATTCGAGTTCTAGCTCAAGCTCCAGCACTCCAAGGTTTGTTGGTTCAATTTCTCAAGGAAGTGGGAATGAGAATGTCTCTGAAGGCAGTGTTTCTAATGAAGGTAAAGCATCGAATCCACCTGGATTTACTGCTGAAGAAATGAATCGACTCAGGTTTCTTCTGCAAGCTGGTGCTAACACACAACCCTCACCACCTACTTCACCATCCATTAACCACCAAGCCTACTCAGCTACCTACTATCCTTCCCCATATCCCAGTTTTTCAGGTAAACATTTCCTGTCATCCTCTCAAAGTAGTAAAACACACAATCTTACCTTATGGATTGTAGACACAGGAGCTTCTGATCACATTTCTTGTAGTCTTTCACTCTTTTCTAGCTATAAGCCAATACAGAATTCCTTTGTCTACACTTCTTGATAATGGAATTCGCGGACAACCAATGAGGGACGGTCATAATAAGGTTTACAAATCGTTTTCAGATGTAATTGAAGGCAAAGAGGGAAGGTTTCGCGAGACTATGCTCGGCAAACGGGTTGTCTATCTTCCCAACAGCACTAGGGTAGCAGTTACATGTATAGGAACAGTCCAATTGGATTGTGGTTTGACCTTACATGATGTCTTGCTAGTTCCACAGTTTTCCTTTAACCTCATATTTGTTAGCAAGCTTACCCATGATAACCCCTATTACTTACACTTTCAATCTGATAAATGTGAAATTCAGGACCTATTAAGCCAGAAGAGGATTGGTTTAGCTCACACAAGTAGAGGTCTCTACCAGCTTGCCCTTTCTTCAAGACCAAACAAGCCTTCCCCACCAAATCACCTTCACCAAGCAGCTTTTGTATTCAACTTTCATCATCAAGACCTGAACCTATGGCATTGGAGATTGGGTCATCCTAGTCATGATAGGCAAACTTTACTTAGCAATGTAATCCCATCTGTTTCCAAACTTAAGACAGTTCATTGTGATGTATGCCATTTATCCAAGCAACACAAACTTCCCTTTCCTGTTAGCACCAGTGTTGCACCTGTAGTCTTTCATTTAATACACATGGATATTTGGGGTCCATTATCTACTGTATCTTATGATGGTTTTGCATATTTTCTTACTATCGTGGATGATCATTCTCGATGTGTTTGGGTATATCTGATGAGGCACAAAAGTGAAGTAAGAGGCTTGATTCAAGGGTTCTGTAATATGGTCAAGAACCAGTTTCACACAACAGTGAAAATTATCATAACAGACCAGGGCAAGGAGTTTGAGATGTGTGAGTATTTTTCAGCAGAAGGGATTGAACATCAGGTCTCCTGTGTAGAGACACCTGAACAAAATGGGAGAGTGGAGAGAAAACATCAGCACATTTTGAATGTGGCTAGATGTTTAAAGTTTCAATCTGGTTTGCCTCTTTCTTACTGGAGTGACTTCATTCTGCATTCTGTTTATCTGATCAACAGGATTCCCACACCTCTCCTTGATAACAAAACTCCCTTTGAAATTCTTTATAAGCAAGTGCCATCCCTGGGGCACTTGAAGGTGTTTGGCTGCTTATGCTATGCCACCACCCTTGTTCATGGCAGAACTAAGTTTGCCCCAAAGGGCAAGACAGTGTGTATTCCTGGGGATTCCAGCAGGGATTAAAGGTTACAAAGTCCTTGATATCCATACCAGAACAGTTTTCTTCTCCAGGAATGTCACCTTTTATGAAACTATCCTACCTTTCAAACAACTGGATACACCTTCCACTTCTGTTCCACCTCCACCCCCTTCCCATCCTTCCACTTCTTTTCCAGTTCCTGCTCCACCAATCCAAATTCCCTTTTCTTCTCATCCTTCTTCTCACAGTCCACCTCCTCCTCAGCGTGTTTCATCAATTGATGAAGGGGGGACTCCTGAGCATGAGGTGTCACCTACCACAGTGGTTAATGATCATTATTCATACTTTGATTCTGATGAGCAGGAATTGCACCCACAAGCTGATGTGGATCTAGATGATCCTAACACTCTTGGGAACAGGAAATCATCTAGAACTGTTACTCTACCAAGCAAATACAATGACTACCAACTAGATCCTACTCTCAAGTTTGGAGCTTTTGGTACTGCTCAGTCAAGCAGCAGGTATCCTATCTGTCTGAATGTTGATTCTCTCAGTAAAGAAGATCAAAGTTTTGTGATGAATGTCATGAACCTGGTTGAACCTAAGTCATACTATGAAGCTATAAAATCAGATGTGTGGAATAGAGCCATGAAGGATGAGATGTATGCTCTAGAAGAGAATCAGACTTGGGACATTGTCCCTTTACCACCAGGAGCAAAAGAAGTGGGAAATAAGTGGGTTTACAAAATTAAACTTAGACCAGATGGGTCATTCGAGAGAAACAAGGCTAGGCTAGTTGCTAAGGGGTATACACAGGTCTATGGAATAGACTTTCTTGATACCTATTCCCCTGTGGCTAAGATCAACACAGTAAAGACCTTCTTAGCAGTAGCAAGTGCCAAGCATTGGATCTTGGAGCAGCTTGATGTCTCCAATGCATTTCTGCATGGAGACCTTGAAGAAGTGGTGTACATGAAGTTACCTCTTGGTTTAGAAGTTCCTTCAGGAAGTAATCAAAGAATGACTTGTCGTTTGAATAAGTCACTGTATGGCCTAAAGCAGGCATCCAGACAGTGGTTTGCCAAGCTCACAAACTTTCTATTGAAGTTTGGTTTTTCACAGTCTGCCTCAGATTATTCATTATTCACTAAATGGACTCATGGAAAGATTACAGTGCTTTTGGTTTATGTTGATGATATAATTCTGGGGGGAGATTCTAAGAAGGACATTGAGCAGGTAAAGGTAGCATTGAGTAAGGAATTCAAGATCAAGCTGCTGGGGCCTCTCAAGTACTTTCTGGGATTAGAGGTCAGTAGAACCTCAGATGGTTTGGATGTATGCTAGAGAAAATATTGTCTGGAGCTTTTGAAGGACACAGGTTACCTGGAGTCAAAGGGGTGCAAAACACCTATTGATACTAAAGTGAAGCTGACATCTAAAGGTACTCCACTGGAAGATGCAGAAGGATACAGAAGGTTGGTGGGAAGATTGCACTATCTAACCATCACCAGGCCAGACATTACATTTGCTGTGCAACAGCTGTGTCAATACCAGAAGAATCCTTGTGTGGAACATATGCAGGCAGCCTACAGAGTTCTTAGGTACCTGAAGTCCTCACCAGACCAAGGAATCCATTTTAGCAGTGAAGCAGAATTGAAGATGACAACATACAGTGATTCTGATTGGGCAAGTTGCCCTGACACAAGAAGGTCCATTACTGGATATTGTACCAAGCTTGGCTCTTCTTTGGTGACTTGGAGAACTAAGAAACAGACCACAGTCTCAAGATCATCCTCAGAAGCAGAGTACAGGGCATTGGCACATCTAGTTTGTGAAGTTGAGTGGTTGAAAAGGCTGCTGTCAGAGCTGACCATACAGGTACCTTTACCCATAACAGTTTACTGTGATAATAGATCTGCTATTCATATAGCAGAGAACCCAGTGTTTCATGAGAGAACAAAACACATCGAGATTGACATGCATGTTACAAGGGAAAGGGTAAAGGTTGGTTTGATCAAGCTGCAGTACATCAATACTAATGAGCAGTTAGCTGACATCTTCACCAAAGGGCTGGATCGATTCAGGTTGAATGAATTATTGGTCAAGTTGGGGATCAGGTTGATACCACCAACTTGAGGGGGGATGACAGAGTTGAAATGAAGTGCTGTTGGTTTGATGAAGAACAAGAGAAGTCTGCAATCCTTATTGCAGAAGGATTCGAAGTGGATCAGAGGAGAAGAGAGGAACGGCGTCGTCTTGCTAAGTCGTGGAGAAAGAAGAGGCAAAACGCACCGGATCGCTTAGTAGTTGTTAGCCGTTAAACTTTACTGTTTATTTAAATATCTAGCCTATCATGTAAGGACATATGTCGTAGTTTTGTTTAATTACTTTCCTATCTATAAAAAGGAACAGAGGACTCAAACATTAGTTGAGCTTCCTCTTCCACAAATCTATCTTTCGCGTTAGCCAAATCCAAAATTCCAATGGTTTTGTGAGAAGACGAAAGAGTCCGAGCTCCACAAGCTAGTTGATTCCAATTGCCTCAACAACTCGTTCAGCAGACTCCAGGTGAATGGCATGTGAAAAGAGCTGAAACAAGGAATGAATGAACGAACATTTAGGGATATGTGATTTATTTACTGATTTCTCACCAAACGTAAGTGGAAGGCCAAGGAGCGCAGGCACTTGGGGGAGATTCTGGGGCGATTCATCTTCAGGCATCATCAATCATCACGTCCTGATTGATTCGAGTGACCAAAATTGATATTAATTCTCGGGAAGCTCTGTCTGTGTTCTGCCCTCCAACTTGATGCAAATCCCTCCCACCAACAGATAGATGATGCAGATCGATCTCTTACTCCCGGGATAGGGCTCCGAGCCCGACTCGGTTTTCATAGTTCATTTTTTGTTTTATTTATTTTAGTTTATTAATTTAATGATGTGAAAATATTAAAAGAATTATATTAATTTTTTCTTTGTCACGTCAGACATTTAACGGTCAACTGTTAGGGTTGACTGCCGCATCAGCTAAAGTTAACGAAGAGTGATTAAACTTGAATTATTTTATTAATTCGAGTGACCAAAATTGATATTAATTTTTTCAATGATTAAACATGATGTGTTTTTAGTAAACCAATGACCAAACTGGGCATTTACCCCTAGGTTGGCTTTTTTAACTTTAACTCAGCAAACTGCCGGAGAATCCTGCGCCTAGAATTCCGGCCCAGCCGTCCAATTGACGGCCGACCGACACGTGTCCTTTGCCGGCAACACGGGCCGACCGACACGTGTCCTTTGCCGGCAACACTCGCCGTGAAGTCTGACAATATAAAACACGTCAGATAGTTATCTCTGAACCTGTCCCAAGTCCCATGCACATGGATGGAGCCGTCCTTATAAAACTCGGAACCAATTCCCTACGCAAAGTCTGTCTGTTCAACTCACCCTCCCCTTAATCCGTCTCATTTTTTAGTTGATTGCGATTATTCTGGAACTTAATTAGTTAACCTTTACTTAAGCTGCCTTCCAAGTTCTAGCCAAAAAGCCATGTTCAGTAGGTGAAGTTTGCAAAATTTTAGCTGGTAATAAATTTGCAGTGAATATGTTACTAGCACGGCTCGGTGAACAAATTCAATTTTGAATTAAATTTCGATCATTCACGGTTTTGCTTTTAGGTGCATCATGGTGGTGATTTTTCAGGAGGTGACTGATCATATGTGCTTTATTTCACATTGAGTATGTTTAATATTAGAGTTCTTACAAAAACTCATCCATTTCATCTCAAAATGCATCTTATCGGTTAAAATTTCTCTCTTTGTCAATGTGAGATTTGCATGAATAGCTTGTATTGTGAGCATGTCATAAATACACTGGTCAAGCAACCACAAAAAAGCTCATCATGCTAATAGAGAACAATAAGGAGACTTATAATTACATGCCATGAATCACTACATGGACTAATACCATAATCGGTGAAATTTGTTTCCTAAAAATCAATGTATCGAATCACGAAATGCTACCAAACTCCAATAAAAAACAGGGAAACAAGAGACATGAAGTTAATTCGTTCATGTTTCATAATGAATTCAAGTGTACTTTTATATATGTTGTCGATCCAAGAATTCAATTACAATTGAAGTAACTTAATTGATTCGTTGATCCACAGTACACACGTGAGGTTGTCTCTCCGTTGCTCTTGATTAAACAAAGACAACTATTATTATCCACAGTGATTATTTAAGCGGATCGGACGACAAGCATTGCTAGCTTTTGGTGCCCGGCCAGGATCCATGTGCCCGTGTTCCCCTTTCACCATATACATGAATCAAGTTTTGCATAGCGTAAGTGTTTCGGTTTTGGATGCATTATAATTACTAGTACATATATCCATTATAACTATCAGTATACATGAACATAGTTTAAAAACTTCTCTTTCCGTACTATTATCAAACTATTTCATTTTTTTCGCTAATTTAATGGCTCGCATACTGAATATGTATTAAAACGCGTTCTGTATTTTACTAATTATGTTTATATTTACGTGTATTGATATATATGAGATCCCGTCTGGGCTTCAGCCTTCGTCTAATAATAATTGAATTATCCCTTATTGAATAATTAATGATGGATAATTAGATAAAGTCATTGTAGCCACTGAAATCTATTCTTGCGGATTTCGATCTAATCATGATCTTCATCTTATGAGAGGAAAAGTTCAATGTCGATAGTTATGAGCTAGCGTATGGTGATTCTTGGTTAACTATTTCAAATTTTGATGACAAATTCATCTTAAACCCAAATTGGTTCGTCAATTCGTGACAAAAAAAAAATCTAGTGATCATACAATAATGTGTAATTCATTTTTTTATTTTTATTTTTTGGCTGAAGACAATATCGACATCAAGCAACTTGAACATCAACTTGAAGGTCGAATTGTGTCCTGACCAATTGCGTTTTGCCCCTGCCCTCCCATTAATTAATCAATCTTCTGACGATCTGAGCGACGTCGGTATGTACATCTATCTACAACAATCCGAGTGGAAATCCTTTCCTTTGCTACTAGCTATGCGTCAGTGTTGTGGAAAAAAAACAGTAGAAAACGACAATGCAAATGGATCTGAATTATATTATTGGGGACGAAACGTAACAAGATGACAACTGCGTCGTTGTCAATTCCTCTCTATTATTAGACGGACCAACTTTCACCATCTAGATGGGATAAGGGCGCTACTCCAAGTCCCAGATTCCCTCTCACCTTAATCTTATCCATGGTTTCAATCCAAGGTGGCATGCCTGGTAAAATGTCGTTTGATCCAATCTGATAATTATTATTAGATCCAACTTCCACCAAGCTCAACTTACGTAGAGTAACGGATATGGTTTTGATGAGTTGACTCGATTCATTCAATATACATCATGAACAGTAATCACATGGTGTGATCTTTGATTTACCAATTTTGCTTTGTAGCAAGTCTTGATTTCAAAGTAATCAACGAATCATAACTTGCGATTCATAACTACCCAAACTTGACTATTTCGATTTAGCTTCAAGACTCCAAATCTCGATTCAAGTATATATGAATGGCCGTATCATATAGCTCAGCTATATGATTCTAAATTATGACAATTTGTTTACCATAAAGATTAAGATTGTACTCGTATATGGATTCATTACAAGAAATTTAATGTGTTTATAAGATTAGACGAGTTAGTTTGACCTTATTGGGTTGGATTTATTGTTCTAATTAAGTGGTCGAGTGCCCTCTGCCTAGCCTCAATAGCCAATCGCCCTCTCCCTTATCTAGGTGGGTACCAAGGTGGCAACAAGTTGACTAGCGACGGGCTTGCCGCCAAGCGGTAAGGTATCAAGCAGAAGAGACGGGTTTGGTACCAAGATCACAAATTGGCACCATGAAGCGCTATCCAAAATAAAATGTGGTGCCTCGGTGGATTAAGGGGCTAAGTTGTCATTGTAACATTCCGAACTTTTTTCCAACTAAGATATTGTCTGCTTTGGGCCTAAACTCTCACAGTTTTTGCTTTGGGGTGCATATCAGGGTTAATGCGGGAGAATGACCGAGTTTGTATAAATGTATGATTAGTGAGTTGTGCAGTTGAATAAGAAAAGTAGATAAAACACTTTCGTGTGTACTAGTCTTGTTCACTACGAACAAGGAAACCACGTAAATCTTATCTCCCGTTTCGATTATTACTTTATTCTGTTTCTATTAACAAGCTGGGCATTGTATGCGTTAATTTTTTTATTATTATTTTTTTTTACCCTAGGGGTGGACTTTGTTGGTTTCTGGTTGTTCAATGCCTCCAAAGTCCAAACAGGTAAATAATGGCGAGTAAGGGACGACGGTTGGGAGAGTTTCGATTTAGAAATGCGAATTAACCCATGCATAATAATTGAAGTGGTTCCGACTCCCGACGGTGCCCAACCATAGAGTATAGACACACGTATACGACATGGTCCTGATAAAATAGTTTTTATTTATATACACTACAAAATTGGTGAGTTTTGGAGACGAAAAATGTTGTCTCCTAAACATGGGTTTTTCGTCTCCAAATCTTTAGGAGACGACAAATTTCGTCCCCACGGGTGGTGCCTATAGGTTCCGTCCTCTATTCTTTTGGGAACAAAAAATGAAAGTCGTCCCCAATATTAGGATCACATAGTCGTCTCCAAAACTCCAAAAATTCTAATTAATTTATTTTCTTTTTTCTATAATTTTAGGACAGTATGTAGTCCCCTATGCAGTGTTTTTGGAGACCATAAGTCGTCTCCTGTGAATTGTGTTATGGACAGTAAGTCGTTCCCTATGAAGTATTTTGGAGACAATAAGTCCTCCCTTATGATGGGTTTTCGAGACATTACGCGTTGCTAAAAGCTATATTTAAAGACACATGGTCATCCCTAATGCAGTGCTTTCGAGACGACAAGTCGTTCATAAAGAACTATCTTTTGAAATAACAAGTTGTTCCTTATGTGGTATTTTTTCGAGACAGTCGGTAGTCTCTTAACAACTATTTTTTGGACAACAAGTCATCTCCTACGAAAAATTTTGTAGACAACAAGTTGATGTAGCTCGTGGGCTTCAATGTTGGCAATGAGTATTCCAATCTTTGGAATATTTTTAATTGAAAGACTGAGGTAGCAATTTAATTATCATTCATTTCTGGAGTAAAAAATGTACCCTTACATAAATAAAGTACAATATGGAAAATGCATAAACCATACACATAATGAAAAAGAAAAACAAATTGGACAAACATAAACACAAAACTACGACAATGAAAACTAGCTGCGACTTCTTCGGAGCGGCGACCCAACTCCTAGCGCTACCGGTTACACTCTGCCCTCGCCGCAGCTGTGGCTCTCCATGACGTACGCGGGGCCGGGGGATATCCCCCCTGGGGCGAAGCCTCCCGACGGAAGCACTCAATCCTGTTGCCCGCCGAATGTGTTCCCTGTCCCAAACAACAGGCGTGACCGTGATACGCAACCTACAAAGAAGCGTGCAAAACCGATGAGTGATAACCTTTGTTTGATTCAGACGAGATGCTCACAGATGATGGGAGTAGTGGAAGCAAGCAGACCAAAGAAGTCCCACCCACGACATCACCATGGGCGGGGGCATCAAAAAAGCTTTTCGGGAAGAATATGGTGCAGGAGGAATGGTATGTGGCTGATTCCGATTCTGAGGATGTGGCAGAGGCTATGCGCGAGGATGACAAGGATGATGAGGTCCCGGAGGATGATGACCCTCGATGCCCTACGATCCCGTTCAAAGCATCGGAAAAGAATCAGTGGAGGCGTCAGTGGCGATCAGCTCTTATTGTTAAGGTGCTTGGACGCTCGTTTCCTTTCCCAGTGGTTTCCCGGCGGCTCGAGTCCCTATGGGCAAAATGTGGGGTGATCCAAATCTCGAGCCTCACGTATGGATACTATGCAGTTCGATTTTTGAGTCAGTTTGATTACGAGCAAGCAGCTGCGGGGGGCCCATGGCGGATTGGTGAATATTACCTGACTGTCCGACCTTGGAGGAAAAACTTCAATCCCAGCTGTGCGGAGGTGGCCACCACCATGGTGTTGGCTAGACTCCCGGGCTTGCCGTCGGAGTTTATCAACAAGGAGGCTGCTGAACGAATAGCGGAGAGAATAGGCAGACCTATTCGGGTTGACCGTGCTACTCAAACGGGGGAGAGAGGCCGGTATGCCCGAGTATGTGTCGAGGTTGACCTGTCGAAGCCTCTCCTCTCAAAGTACAAAATCGAAGGGTCCACCTACTATATTGAGTATGAAGGCCTGCATCAGATATGCTCGGAATGTGGAAAGTACGGTCACTCAAAGCAAGCTTGCCCTTCCCTTAATAAGGAGGTGGTGAGCGAGTCGCCAACTGTTAATGAGGGAGGAAAGGACGTGGCCCCCAAGGCCCCCGAACCTTTATATGGCGAGTGGATGATGGTGAAACCGAAAGGAAAGACAAAGAAACAAACACAGAACTCACCTGGGGAGAATGGAGGGCAAAAACAAATCTCCTCTGGGAAAAAGATCCCGCAACAGCAATTTGGAGGGCAGGGGGGATCTCGATATAGTGCCCTGGTGGAGGAAATGGAAGAGGAGGCAACTACTGACCAGTGTACCCCCGACAACAAAGGAGGCTCCCCCCAGCTGACAGAACCAGTGGACTCGGGAAAAGTCGTAGAAGTTCAGGAGATGGGTGATAATGGTGCACAGTTAGAAAAGGAGGCACCCTCTAGTGGCAAATTGAGCAAAGATGCAACGGAATTGATCGAGGTCCCCATACAGCAATTTGTTTTTGGTCGTGTGGAGGACAGCGGAAAACAAAGCACTACCAAGGGTGTGACAAGTAATCAGGGCATGCAGAATCTCAGGAAAAAGATAGTAGTCTCCTCCCAGGCTGGTTCAAAGTCGGGGAAGTCAATGAATCAAAACCCCAAACAAAAAGAAAGCGGGAAAGGAAAGTTGGACAAGGAAAACGTGTTGATCAACGTCGTAAGTGGCGTGACGGGGAAGGCAATAAGCAAACTAAAGGGCGCGGGGAGCCTATCCCCTTCGGGTCATAAATGAGAATTTTGAGTTTTAACTGCCGCGGGATGGGGAGCAAGCGAGCAGTTAAATCGCTGAAGTCGCTCTTGCGACACACGACCCCAGATATGGTTTTCCTGATGGAAACCAAGCATATGGAAGATGAAAATGAAACCACGCAGCTTGAGCTGGGTTTCGAGCGAGGAAAGTGTTGGCCGACTGATAGATCGGGTGGCGGTAGAGCGGGGGGAGTTAGTTTATGGTGGCGAGAAGATTTGGAGGTAAAAATAATGTCAAAGGACCTTCATTACATTGATGCAAAAATCTAAGAGAAGGGTTCAGTGGACTGGCGCTTTACTGGTCTATATGGGTGGCCAGAAGATAGCGAAAAGCATAGAACTTGGGAGCTTCTGAGAACCCTCTCTCAGCAATGGGATGGACCTTGGCTGTGCGGGGGGGATTTCAACCAAATCTTAACTAACGAAGAAAAGGAGGGTGGTCGTGAAGCTCGTACAGCTGATATGGCAGCTTTCAGAGAGTGTCTTTTTGACACGGGCCTCAATGATTTGGGATTTCAAGGGTACAAGTTTACCTGGGTGAACAACCGCTCTGCAGGAGGTTTCATCGAAGAACGACTTGATAGATTCCTTGCCTCCAAAGAATGGTGTGAGTCTTTTCCAAAGGCGAGAGTGAAGCATTTAGACAAGATAAAGTCGGATCACCGCCCGATTGTCTGTGATACGAATGGCGAGGATGATGAAGACCCGAAATGGGGTTGGATGTTCAGGTTTGAATCCCAATGGGCAAAGCATGAGCAATGCCCTGATGTGATAGCTGCAGCGTGGAACCGAGGGCCTCCGGGTGATACTATTGCAAAGATTAACGCTTGCAGGGATGAGCTAAATGCTTGGAGCCTCTCGGCTTTCCCAAACTTCCGGAAACAGAAAGAGCGCATTAGGAGGGCGATCCGCTCGCTGGAACGGGGTAAAAAAATGGAACAGGTTGTCTTTCAACTGAAGCAACTTGAGTCGGAACTGTTGGAGGTAGAAGACAATGAAGAAATCTATTGGCAACAGCGGTCACGAATTGATTGGCTGAGGAAGGGAGATAATAATACTAATTTCTTCCATAAAAAAGCTTCAGCTCGCAGGAGGAGAAATACTATACGAAAACTGAAGGACGAGGGAGGGCTCCTGCACGTGGGAACTGAGCAGATCCAGGTTTGCATGGTTAATTATTTCTTGTCCCTTTTTCATGCAGGGCACGTACCAGACTCAACCCCGGTGTTGGACGCGATTGGATCATCCATTTCTGTGGAGCAAAATGCTGCCCTCACCCGTCCGTTCTGCCGAGATGAGGTGGTTGTAGCTCTTAAGCAGATGGGAAAGAGAAAAGCTCCGGGAGCGGATGGTATGTCCGTACTCTTTTATCAGCGATACTGGAACATTATTGGCGATGATGTAGTGGGGACAGTTCTGAATATCTTGGACCGAGGGATTATGCCCGAGCAGCTCAATCATACTCTTATTGCTCTGATCCCCAAAGTGAAGAATCCGGACTCCCCTAAAGAGTTCCGACATATCAGCCTGTGCAATGTGCTATATAAATTAGTAGCAAAGGTGCTTGCGAACCGCCTGAAAGAGGTGTTGGATTCGGTGGTTACAGAGGAACAAAGTGCTTTTGTGCCGGGACGATTCATAACGGATAACGTCATGGCTGCCTTCGAATGCTTCCACTCGATGAAGAAAATTGGGAAGACTAGCAAGGGAGGTTATTTTGCAGCTAAAATCGACATGGCAAAAGCATACGATCGGGTGGAGTGGTGGTTCCTTGAAGGAATTATGCGGAAAATGGGTTTTGCGGAACAGTGGATACTATGGATTATGATGTGTGTTCGGACGGTGTCCTACTCAGTCTTGGTTAATGGGCATCAGTCACAGAGTTTTACCCCAGAAAGAGGATTGAGGCAGGGGGATCCTTTATCCCAGTACCTTTTTCTTCTGTGCGCAGAGGGCCTTTCCGCGTTTACAAAAAAGGCTGTTGCTGAAGGAAAGTTTCACGGCTTCTCCCCGGCAAGAGGGGCACCATTAATTACTCATCTCTTCTTTGCCGATGATAGCGTTTTCTTTGGAAAAGCGACTGTCAAGGAGGCGAGCACCTTGAAGGAAATTTTGGGAGCTTATGAGAGAGAGTCTGGTCAACAGGTTAGTTTCCAAAAATCTGAAGTCTCTTTCAGTGGAAATGTGAAGATGCACCTACGTTTGATGATCAGTGGCGAACTGGGAATGAAGCTGGTGGAAAAGCATGACAAATACTTGGGGCTACCGACTGTAGTGGGACGTTCGAAGAAAGATATTTTCCAGGGTATCCTGGAGAGACTTCGAAAGAAACTTAAGAGCTGGAAGGAAAGATCGCTATCAGTGGCGGGTCGAGAAGTACTGATAAAATCGGTGGCACAAGCACAGTTCACCTATGCTATGTCGGTATTTCGGATTCCTACTCTTGTGGTGGAGGAAATTCACAAACTCATTGGTAATTTTTATTGGGGTCAACGAGGAGTGGAAAGGCGAGTGCATTGGCTAAGAAGAGAGGAGATGATATGTGCAAAGGAGGAAGGAGGCCTTGGTTTCCGGGATATGCAGGGTTTCAACACGGCAATGCTCGCAAAGCAGCTATGGCGATTGTATGAAAGGCCCGACTCGCTGATTGGGCGGATATTGTGTGCTAAGTATCATAAAAACACCTCTATCCTGGACGCTTCAGAGGGCTACCGTCCCAGCTTCATCTGGCGGAGCTTAATGGGAGCTCAAGCTTTCTTAAACGATGGTCTTCGGTGGAGAGTAGGCAATGGAGCTTCAATCCGCATTTGGGGGGATAGATGGTTACCCACCGAGCCTGTATCTTTTGTGGAGTCTGCTCCTATGGGGCTCCCGCTTGACGCCAGCGTCCGCGAGCTAATTTCGACGGAATCGGACAGGTGGGATGAGGCAGTTCTGGAGGGCTGCTTTCCGACAGAGATAGCTGAAGTAATCCGGCAAATTCCTCTCCGAGATATTGAGGAAAAGGATAGGCTGATCTGGAGGGGAAGCAACTCAGGCGAATACACTGTCCGTGACGGGTATCGTTACTGGTTAGAGCAATTCAAAGCAAGGGAGTCGATCGTGCAGTTCGGAGGGGCGGAAGTGTGGAAAGGGCTGTGGGGGCTAAAAATTCCACCAAAAATTAAGCACTTCCTTTGGCGTTTCTTGAGAGACATTTTGCCTACAGGAGATCATATAAGTGGAAAAAGTACAAGATGGGGAGACATGTGCCCTTTTTGTGATGATCGTGAGACTCAAGCCCACATTTTCGGGGACTCCGCGTGGTCCTCTAGACTGTGGAGAGGGTCGGCTCTGGCAAGCTGCTTTGAATCCCGTCAGTCCGAGTGTAGCTATTCCTGGTTTAAGAAGGTGTTGGAGACGAAACCGACTGCTGAGGTGGAAGATTGGTGTGTCCTTCTCTGGCTTATATGGCGGGAAAGGAACGCCCAACTGTTCAATGGCCAAAAAATGGAGGAGAGTGCGATTGTGCCTCGTGCAAAGGCCTTCATTGAGGAGTACCGAACGCAGCAGGGGGAAGAAGAAAGGCTAATCGAACCCGCTGGGGTGAAGTGCTGGAAGAAACCAAGGTATGGTTTTGTGAAGTTAAACACAGATGCGGGGATCTTTCCAACAGGGGGTATTGGTCTTGGTGCTGTTATTCGGGATGCGGAGGGGAAGTTCATCCTAGCCGCTGCAAAAAAGCTTCCTGGAATGTGGGAGACGGAGATGGCTGAAGCCCTGGCCGCGGAATTCGGATTACAGGTCGCTGCCCAAGCTCAGTTGACGAATGTGATCTTGGAAACAGACTGCCAAACGCTGACATCCAAGCTCGCGGCAGCGGGAAGTATCCATACTGAAGTTGGGATTATATGCAGGAACATTCGGAAGCTCCTAGGCGAAATGGGACAGGGGAGCTGGCAATTCTCACCAAGAGAAGGTAACAAGGCTGCGCACATTATGTGCCATTCGGAGACGAGATGGAACGAGAGTATGATTTGGTTTGATAGACCACCGATGTTTCTAGTTGATCAGATAGAGTCGGACAATGTAACCGCTACACCTGATTAATATATTCCTACAGATTTCCATAAAAAAAAAAAACTAGCTAACAAGAGTGCTAGACCTCCGGTGGCTAATCACCATCGCTTCACTTGCTCTCTCTTTTCCTTATGTCGTGCCTACATCACCGCCATCACCAATTGATAGTTCGAGAGATAAAAAAAAAAAGAGTCAGAAGCTTGAAAAAGATATATTTAACATATACCAAACAACAAATTCACCAGCTGATGACTCGATATTTGCACATGTTTTCCCCTTTGTTTCTTGATCGTTTAAGCTTGCATTATCGCTTCTTTGGCCTATTTTACGCTAGGTTGTGTTCCTTTGTCACATTTCAGGCCCTAGCACATAAAGTGAATCATAGACGCAAGTTTCAAGTCAATCAGAGATCAATTGGCGATTAGGGAGAAGAAACTCGGTCATGACCTGAAGAAGAATGGATTTATACCTCACTTTATGGAAAAATAATCAGGCAAGCTTGTTATGAAAAAGAAAGAGAATGAGACTACGAGCGTCTGGGTTCAAACGGCGACTGATTTGGAGTCCGAACGAGGGAGAAACGAAGCTTTGAACAGGAGAGGAGGAAGAATTACGGGTAGGAGAATTACGACCGTAATTTGGCCTCCCATGCCCGTAATTTCACTGCCGAGAGGAGCTTTGGGTGCGCTGAAACATAACCAAAACGCGTGTTTTGGGCAAAATACGGGCATGGAAGAATTACGACCGTAATTCAGCCCGTAATTCGCCCAGAATCTTTGAGGCAGATTCGAGCCAAAGGAAAGAGAGAGCTGGGTTTTGGTTCCCAAACACCCAAGGGACGAACCCTAGAGAGAGAGAGCGACTTGGGAACATTCTTGGAGCTATTTTGGAGGATTTCTTCGCCATTGGAGCTCGGGAATCAAGCTTGGAGATGGAGATTGAAGATCTAGATCAGATTTCTGCAGTCTCTCTCTTCTCTATGGAGTAACTTCCCTTCACTTAGGTTTTGAGGAACCCTAGTTCCATGTGTTAGGATCTTTCTTGTATGAAGTTTTGGATGCTATATTGTTTGATTATAATCGATTGAGGCATGATTTATTGAGTCAATTGAATCTTGATCAAATTCTCTTGATTTCTGCTTTAACCTATGATAGATAGAATCTGATTAGGTTAAGAGAGCTTCCTTGATTGATAGTGGTGAATTGGTTGTGCGAGAGTCAATCAATTCACTGCTTTGTACTGGAATTCATTCCAGTAGTAGAGTTCTGTGTTTATAGCCTCAGCTTTCTATCCTGGTGAAGACTAGTCGTCTGCCGGGTAGTTTGACTGAGAGGGCTTGGTCAGCTTAAGAGATTCCAAGCTAATTTAGGATCTTCCGCAGTTTAATCATCAGTAGATCAACCAAAGGTAATTGCAACTTGGACCTAATTGAGGAGCTAGGGGGAATCATACCTAAGTGAGTTCCCAAACTGTAATTAGTAGTTTTACTTAGTTTAGTTAGTAGAGTAGTTTAGTTAATCAATCCTTAATCTAGTTTGCTAGATAATGAACTGAAGCTGAGTAATAGTAACTCTAGAGACCCGTGGATTCGATATTTATTACTTGTGCCACTATACTGCAGTCCCTTTCATTGGTTACACTTGGCCATTGTTAGGTGTTGTGTTTTAGCGTGTCACCAGCTTATACAATAGAAACTTACAATATACTAAATTATAATTCAAATAAAACTTAACGAAATATATTTGAATTCGTACCTTGGTAAGCTCAAAGGAAGGGAACGCTAATGACTACTCGATATGAGAAAGAGAAGCTAACTTGGAGCATGAAGGAGAGAAGGAAAAGGAACGGACGACGTCTGCAATATGTAAAGAAGGGTGAGGCCAACAATATTGAGAAGAAAAAGAAGTTAGAAAGAGGAGGGCATTTGGCCGACTGAAATGGAATGATGGAATAGGAGTAGGGTTTTGCATGTTATATCAAGGGAATAAATGATTGATATCTTATAGAAGATTACACAGTGAAGATGAGGCCATAGTAAATGACTTGCGGATTGTTAGATAAACAAAAAAGTGAAACTACCTTTTTTTTGTAACAAATTAATCTATCTCTACCTCTCTTAATTGATTCGTTTCACTTTCTCGCTAAAAAATACTATAAAATAATGTATTTCATTTTTAAAGGATCTATATTTATTTACTTAATTTTGGGATAATTTTATCCCAAAAAACAATAACAAGAAAATCTGCATAGATGACGCGGATTCTCAACAGTGCCAAACCTTTCTTCATTTAATTTAGCGTTAGAGCCCATTGGAGACAACTTGATAAATCCCAAATCAATTAAATATTTAATTCTCAATTATTGTAGACAATTTTATCAGTTTGTCGCTAAAATCAATTAAAATTGTATTATCGGAGATGGAATAAAATGATTGTCCCCTATGTTTGTACCCTATGCTTATAAATTTTGTAGTGATATAGTGCTGATGAAGATAAAAGTAGATGTCTCCTAGTGACTAGTGAGATATCCCACTATTTATGTATAAAAAAAACTAAAATACTATGCAAAAAAATTTCAATTTTTAATGCAAATTTACTTATATTCATGCATGTTATTGTGACTAGTGAGATATCCCACTATTTATGTATAAAAAAAACTAAAATACTATGCAAAAAATTTCAATTTTTAATGCAAATTTACTTATATTCATGCATGTTATTGTAATTATTTACCTTTTCATGAATTTGTATTCATCTCCGTTTGTTTAAGATACTGTATAAATGGAAAGTCTTTGAAAAAATAGGTCAGAATACAAGTGAATCAACATGAAAATATATTTTTTGCAAATACTAAATGTTAGGAGTGAAAATAAAACCCGTAAGGCCGCAATCAGGTACAAGACCCTTATGACCTAGACAACACGGAGAATCCAGCGTTGACTTGGTATGGAGTAGGTATCTGAAATACCCGCAAAAATTTTGATCGAGATGGAGCGAGTAAAATTTTAGCCTTTCTAACCCATACTCATACCCCAACCTCCACCAAGAGTTTCTTTATATATAAAAAATATAGAGATCAAATAGCAAAATGTCAATTAAAGTTGGTAATTCAAAAAATTAAAATAAAATAATTAAAGTATAATTGAGTGGCAACCCAAACCAAAATCTTATCTTCTTTCCCTCCAATTCCCCTTAACTCCTTCACTTCTTTCTATCCATTAACAATAGTATTTAGAAATAGTGTTAGAATCCAATAATATTGTACTTTTTCTTATGGATTAATGAATTATTTTAGGATTGCATGTGTTAAATTCGTATTAAAATGATTGTATTTTTGTTGATTTCATGATTTATTTGGTCCGTTTAATGTTACAATTAAATATCTACATGTTGAATTTTGGATATAGTATGTTGAATATAAGAGGCAAGTATTTTATCATGGATATCCGAAAACCACGATATGAAAATAGGGATGCAAAGCCTTCACATATCAGTATCAAACGAGTATAGATTTGAATATTCAGAAATAGGACTCATTCAATCAAAAATAGATTTTACAGTATAGACGCTTTATGACGAACATATGCCTTCACACTAACCTCAAATTAACCATTTAGTTTGTAATCTTCTCACGAAAATGACTATTCCACCAAAAAAAAACTTTTAATTCAAAATGATAAAATATGTAGAATCCGAGCAAGTGGTTGCTGAAATTTGCACGAGTTAGCAACCAATGGTTAACGATGGCTCTGATGTGTTTTAGAGGAATCGACGAGGCGAACTGCCAATTTTCGGATATGAGATATCTATTATTGTCACTAAGGAAGCATTTGCTTTCAAACCCAAAGCTAGCCGGTTCTCCTCAATCGAAATGCGTTGAGGCACAACAGTTAACTGGACATCTAGAGAGTAAAGCACTCTTTCGGATCACGGATTTTCTTCCTATGAAATAATTGACTCAAATCAATAAAATAAAAATGTTAAATAATTTCAAATATAAAGGTTAATACTCTGACAACTTTACTTACGTAGGGCAGAGTTTGTTTTTTTCCCCATTCCGAATCTGCCCATCGCCATTGCTAGTTGCACCGTGGAACAAGAAGCTTTGTCCGCTGGTGACAAAAGTTTCTAGTGGCGAGACTTTGGGGTGCCGAACCACAAATAACGATTAACAACCATGAAGAGACAGCCCAAAAGTTAAATTAATTGGCCAAGCCAGACAGCCACGCAGTTGAAGTTGGAATAATATAACGGTTGGCGATCAAGCATGGCCCATGCACGATCTGTCAATTGATTGAGCTTGGCTCCCACTTCAAAAACCCTTGACATATATGTCCGCCGCGTTCTTCTAGAAGGCCAGCAAGCAAATCAGTCGACGGTTCCCTTCTTCTAGAAGGCTGGCCAGCAAATATGAGGTCCCATTCCTTCTTCTGGTTGAGTTGTGAGATTCCAGAAATGAAAATGATAGTATAGGCTCCAAGGAATCACACCCAACTCGATCGAATTAAGTTATGATTGAGAAACAGCTAGCTAGAAGGCCAAAACAGAAATAAAGTTAAAAGGAAAATTTATTATTCGCAAAAAAAAAAATCGTATTATTCTATGATTTTTTTCATTGCTTTCTATTATTTTACTTAATCGTATGTATATTTTTAAAAATTCGGGAGGAAATAAGATGAAAAGAATATGGTGAAACTTACTTCTCCAAAATGTATTTGAAGACTGATATATTTTAGGTTATAATGTGTAACTTTCTTGGTATACTATGGCCTTTCTTTTACCCATGTGTACAATCGTGGACGGTTTTTAAGGAATCTGATTAATTTATATTATTTTTCTGCCTATTGAGTCTATGGAAGTAATTTATGTAATTAATTAATAACAGAAAGCATTATGGTCAAAACTTGAAAACAACGGTTTAATTAGTGGGATCACTAGGTAAACATGAACTTTTGACTAAATGAGTTTTCCATGTGTTTTTAACTTTAGGGGGTAACAGTATATATTGGAAAGGAATTAAATCAAAACGAT